AGCTCAAGTTAAAACCCAGCCGTCACCGCACCAGCCGCGCTCGGTGTGCAATACGCATCACATCCCAGCACAACTCAACGCAATGCGACGTAACACACACGCAATGCAGCGCAACACTCGCAGGCGGTCCACAAGTGCCTTGTCCCCCGGCCGGCGGCAACACTCCAGCCACCGGCGCCAGCCACACGCAAGGTGACGTCTCGCCGCCCCCCTCACAGTCTCGGCCCTGGGGACGCCGCGGATGGGCGAGCCCCGCGTGGCCCGGGCCCGCCGCACGCCGCCCCGCAGTCTGCCGCCGCGGCTTCCTCTGCTATAGACATCTCCCGCGCCCGGAACAGCACGCTGCCCGGCGGAGCAGGCCGGCCAGCGTCCCGGCGCTCCCGCATGCACCACGGCCAGGCTATTCGGCGACGTCCGACGGTGGTACGGGTCACTAGTGCTCACGTGAAGACGTCACGCACGTCACACTGACCGCGCGGGCCGGCTGCAGTGACGTGGCGCTTATCCAGGCCGAACGGCCGGCTGCAGTAACGTCATATTTGACCCGGCTGCTGGGTCGGGCCGCAGCAGTGTGGCCGGCTGTGATGACACCACTCCTGCTGTGATGACGTCACACCTGGCCTAACCGCTGGGCGGTGCCGTAGCTGACGGGCCCGCTGCGGCCGATGGCGCGGCGTGCCTGCGCTAGGGTCGGCCGACTCGATCAGCTGGTGCAGCTCGGGCTCTGGGATGGCGCTGCAGCCGGCGCGCGCGGCGCGCATCAGGCGCAGCACGACGCTGGCGCGCCGGTGCTGGCGGCGCATGCCGCAGACGGCGCGCACCAGCAGGCCGAGCGCGGCCAGCACGCCCAGCGTGTACCCGGCGATCGCCGACCAGAAGATGGCCGGCGAGGTGCAGTCGTCTGTCGCGTCCAGCTTCGATGATACCGGCGAGGAGCTGATGTCTGCCGCCGGCTCCACGGACACCCGGCGCGCGGCGTCCTCCGCCGACCGGAGGTGGCCTGGCGGCCGTGCGGCGAGCTCGGCCGAGCGGGCCCACGTGGCGCGGCCGGCGGACAGCGCGGGGGACCTCCACTGGACGGGGGTGGAGCGCAGCGGCGCCCAGTGCGAGTTGCAGAGCGGACCCAGGTAGAAGGCGCAGGTGCAGACGAACAGCAGCAGGCAGACGGAGACGCAGGCGATGCGGCAGTGGTTGACGAAGTTGAGTGTCAGCTGCTGGTCCTTCTTCACTAGGAACTCGTACATGGTAGAGGTGGACATGTCTCCGGACTGAGCCGCTCAGAGGTGGCGCAGAGGCTGACGGCGGCCGGGCTGTACCTCGTGCGTAGAGTCGGACCGCACGGACCCGTCCAGCCGCCCCGGCCGCACCTGAAGACCGACTGGCAGGAGGACAGCTCGCTCCCCTCACCGAGAGAGATTAAAGTCAGCGCCCGCGGCGGTGAGGGAAATGTCAACCCGAGCGCATATCTCGCGCCGGACCCTCGCCCGGCCCTACCGTTTGTCCAGTGGCGCGCTCAGCTGGGCTGACCAGAGGAGGCAACGGTCAACGGCCAATTGAGCCAAACGTGTCTAATCTAGCGTTTCTGATTATTTGGGAGCCGTCTTCAACTGGACCTCTCATTGAGGGACGCATGTCCCGACCGTGCCTCCTGGTATCGTCCCTGCGAGTGACCAGCGGGGCATCTCCTGGGACGGTACTGGAAGGGGTCGAAAACGTGCGCGCCATGCGGACAACAGGTGGGGTGTGACGTCTGTAGTACTATTTTTAGTGTCGACGGGGGCGCCTGTCTCTGTGTCTGTCGATTCAGGAGCGTTATGTGACCTTTTGCTGAGCGCCTGGTCCGGTATTTTTCCACCGGGCGTACCCCGCACGACTCTGGTGTCGGCACCGGCTTCTGTCGGTATGCCGGGCGCTGGCTGCGCGCGCTGCCGGTCCGCGCAGCAGCAGTTCCCCGTCAGGCAGAAGACACGCAGCAGTAGGGAAGGGAGGAGATACGCAGAGACGCGCGGCGGCAGGGAAGGAGGAGACGCGAAGACGCGCAGCAGCAGGGAAGCTGTGTAGGCGTCGCTGCGGAGCCGGCGCTGCGGCTGGAGCCGTTAGCAGCAGCCGAGCAGCTCTCAGCAGGGAGCAGGTGTGGCTCCGCCGCCGTCACCGCCGTCACCTCGGCGCGCGTGAGTCACCTCTGCCCGTCTCCTGTCCCGTCCCGGTACGATACCGCCCTGTCCTGACGCGCACTGGCGTATGGACGTGCTTGCATGTCCACATGTCAAATGTTTTCGGCACCGACAGCGATAATTGAGTACAGCGCACGCTACCGTGGGCATACGAGTATTCGTGTTCAATTCCTGGCGGACGCTTCTAATCTGGCCTTCAGATTGATGCCCGAAACCAATTTGGTAAGGGAAGAAAAAACGCGAAGTGCTCCACTTCAGCATTCGTGCGGCTGCCCAACCACAATCCCCCCCCCCCCCCCCCAAGTGCAGAAGCATTGATCACATACGTTGTGGCACCCAAATATTAAATTTCGCAATCACAAATTTTCCCGACCTTTTCGAATTTTGTGGTAAAGTGGCAATAATAGGAATTTGGGCTTTCGGAATCTTCGACTGCGCCGTCACATAGGGCCAATTGTGGAAAGTTGCGGCGTTTGCAGGCTTTCTGCTCCGGATAACCCAGCTGATGAGTTACCTGCCAGCTGTGGCGGCGTGTCAACCATCCATGCGACAGAAGCCTGTCTGGCTGAGTTAGCACGTGTTGCGGCCGTACCCGTGTTGCACGTGGCCGGCAATGGTCGGCGCATGGCCAATCTTAGGAGACCAGCACGTAGCCACGGACCAGCGCGCCTCGGGACGACCGCAGCCGATGGCGATCTGCACAAATCACCTCAGGCACCGCACAGCGGAAGAGACGAATGCATTTTGAACTTTATTTAGCGAGCTATGGATTTGGCATTGACGTGCAATAAAGTATCTGAACGCTACACAACTAAACAAAATAATCTTGCAATGCAGCCTAAATACGATTTACCCACCGCACCAGACCGAGATGGCCACGCCTCTGATGTCTGGGTGAAGACATGCAATCGTCCGGCAATACTTCACCTCCAGGGCAGGGCTACCGTTCACTACATAAATTCCTTCCAAAAATTATGACACAATCGCAGGAAGACGACCAGGTGTTTTACATAGCAGTTTCGTACAGCTTTTGGACGGCTGGAACATCTGAAGTCTGGCGTATCTTTACGGTTCGAATCCGGTCGGCTAGGTAAATCAGCTATCTCGCGAAGATCAATAGCTGGGCAGATTGCAGAGCGATTTCGTCAAAATGACAAGCTTTCCAGCTATCCCCATCACCAGTGCACCGAGATACGGCGTGACGAAACAAATAAATAACACTGCAAGATAATACAGATTCCAGTGCAAAACTTCTGACGCCATAACAATAACATTAAAGCTGGCTAAAAAAGTCGAGCGCATGTGTACGTGGTTCGTTTGGCACTACTGTCGATAGCATCTACGTAAGTACGTGAGCCGACTGGCCAGCCGCACCGAACAGCGCGCCGATGAGAAGCGGCCATAGCCCTCCCCCCCCCCCCCCCCCCCTCTCACGCCGGCCAACGCAATACGAAGCCCCAGCCGCCCCGGCCCCACGGGCCAGCAGTGACACCAGGCCCGGCGGCGGGCGGCGGCAGCAGCCGTCCGTCCGGCCCGCCAGCATAGCCGGTACGCGGCGACAGACGCCGCGACCGCCACAGACGGTGGTCCCCGCGTCCGCCGCCGCCGTCCCAGGTGCGCGGCCACGTGCCGGCCAAACGTCCACCGCCCCGGCGCCGCGCCAACGCTTAAACAGGACCCCAGGGTAACAGACGACAGTGTGACGGAATATAGCGCTACCAAGCCGGTTAATACAGGGCGCCGTGTGGCATGTAACCGAGCGCAAAATACGAGCATAGCCAGACCACGAGTACGGGCCATTTGATGGGACAGGGACGCCTTGCACGCGACCGCAACAGGTATATGGTCATTCAGACCGTTGGCCTCACAGTATCACATGCGTATTACTGTTGTGGTGTGAGCGCCAGAGTAAGCAACGTGCGAGGAAAGAACGGTCACGACGCCGCGAAGGCCGCAGCGGCCTGCGCACTCGCTCCAGCCGTCCCGTCTCCACGCGAGTGCCTGCCAGGGCACTCGCGACGCAGGGCGGCCCGCCGCCGCCCACACAGCCGGCCCGGATGGAAGACACGGACGGACGAGCACGCAGCCTGGAAAACTTTGCACAGCCCACGGTTTGGACACGAGACGGCGCCCGGTGCACCAACTGCACACCGCAGGGCAGCGTCGCCCGACCCCGCAGCGCTGGCTGACGAGCTCCGCCGGACCAGGCAGGCAAACGCCGCGACATGAGCCCAACATTCCGTAACGTGCCATATAAATGCATAGCTTTCACGCGCATATGGATGAGCTTGTAAGTACTGCGCGTAAGTGGGCGACAGCTCTGATAATAATGTACCGCAACATACCCACTCGCAACACGCCGAACGCCCCTCCTGGCCAACATCGGGCCAGTTCCCCATTCCGGCGTAGCTGCCCGGGTACGGATCACTTCGCACCGCCCGCGCGTCTTACCAAAGCCGAAGCCCACCGCGAGGTCGGCCACCACTTGAAGTTCCGTGCGTGGCTAGAAACAACAACTCGTTCACCTGGAAGAGCAGTACCGCGAAAGACGCCATTGACATGTAAGTGACTCAGGTGACATTGAGCAGTCTGACCAAACCCTTACTGGGAAGACCATACGAATGCGCAATGTGGCATTACCGCCACCGTCGGTCGGACACAAACTACCGGGCGCAGCCGCGCGGACTAAGAGGACCCTCAGTTGGAGCTGCAGGAGCACCGGGATGGACATCCTGGCAAGACTTCCCACCGTCTCACACCTGGCTGAAATACTACAACACCGGCTACAATTGAAGGCGGGATTTTTCGCGGTACGCGTCTCTCAAGATTCAGACACCAAGTTACTGATCCAGACTGTTCGCTGCATGATACCAAGATCTCCATCCTAACCACCAGCTGAGTGGCACGAGGCCGCCGCCAGTCGTGTGAGCTGTCGCGCGGCCGTCACCCGCCGAGCCTCAGATGGGAGGATGGTACACCGGCGGACGCGCAGCCCACCGAACCCTCGCCGTCGGCTGAAACACAGGGCGAGGCACCGTCAGCCCACCATGGTGCCCACCTGACGCCGCGCGCTCCCAGCGGTACACACCTGATCCCGTGCCTTCCTCAGCGGTCCATACCTGGCCAGATGCCCTCCCCAGCGGTCCGTACCTGATCACGTGCCTTCCCCATCGGTCCGCACCTGATCCCGCGCCCTCCCCAGCGGTCCATACCTGACCAAATGCCCTCCCCAGCGGTCCAAACCTGACCAAATGCCCTTCCCAACGGCCCGCACCTGACCCCGTGCCCTCCCAGCGGTCCATGCCTCACCCCGTGCCCTTCTAGCGGTCCGTACCTGTCCCCGTACCCTCCCAGCGGTCCGTACCTGTCCCCGTACCCTCCCAACGGTCCGCATCTGACCCCGTGCCCTCCCAGCGGTCCGTACCTGTCCCCGTACCCTCCCAGCGGTCCGTACCTGTCCCCGTACCCTCCCAGCGGTCCGTACCTGACCCCGTGCCCTCCCCAGCGGTCCGTACCGTGTGTCATCTCCTCCCGGCTCAGCAGGCCCGGCCGGCGTACTTCACACCAGCTGCCGTGCGCAGCGGGTTCTGCAGCAGGTCCGGTTGCGCCTCCATGACGCGCAGCAGCAGCGTGTCCAGGTACTCGTCCAGATCCGATGTCTGCAGAGCGGCACATAGCCAGATGAGGTCGGACCGCCGTCGGCACGGACTGGCGCCGTACCAAGCTCGCTCGGGACACCGTACCGTGCCATACCGTACGCCTGCCTAAAATGTACACCTAGTACATGTACGCCTGGCCAAACACAGTAGGGTGGACACGGCGTGAGACAGGGAAAGCACGCCGTTACTTAGGATAGTGATGTTTTCGGTCGTTTACGGGAAGGACAAGCAGCGCCTCCACGCAAGAGCTCCTTCGACACTGCCGGACGCGACCCACCTGCGCCTTGGACTTCTTCAGTTCGTCCTTGACCTTCTTGAGCTCCTGCTGCAGACCGAGCACCTGCTCGATCAGGCTGTCGCGCGAGCGGCCGTCGAAGGCGCGAAGAGTGTCGCGCGACAGCCGGGACGGCTCGGCCGAGGCCGGGCCGCGCTCGTTGCCGCCCTCCACCACACGCCTCTCGCGGCCGTCCGACAGCGGCAGCAGCGACACCGTGGGGCTCGCTGCCGGGCCCACATCGGAGCGTCAGTCGGCGCCAGTGAGACGCGCCGGTGCGCGGAACACGCTGAGACAGACACGGCACGGCAGGGTGGGCAGCGTATAGCGAGCTGTTGGTGATCGCCGACGCCTTGCGCCGTTGTACTTAACGAGATGGACGAGACAGGTTACACTGTCAGTGACATGGACAATGACATGAAGCAGAGCCCCCGCGAAGACAGACTGACCTCTGATTCGATGGATGCGGGCAGAAGAAGCGGGCAGACTCACGTGGCATGTCGTCACCCGCGGCGTCCTTCTCCAAAGCCTCCAGCGAGTCCTTCTCCTTCTTCGAGGTGAGCTGGCGGAAGATGTGCGGCGTCTTCTTCAGCGGCGACATCATCTTCTCCAGCTTATCCTTCTTGCTGGAGCTCTCCTTACGCGGCTTGTCGCGGGGAGACTCCTTGGCCTCCGGCGCCGCGGCCGCGGCCGCCGCCTCCTCCTGCTCCTGGTCCATGTCCTCCGGCTCCAGGAACGGGTTGCTCCCCTCTGGCTCGTCGAAGGGGTTGGCCGGCTCGGCACGCGGCGCCGGCACTGGCGGCTGCGGCTGCGGCTGCGGCTGCGGCGGCGGCGACTGCGACGACTGCGGCGGCGGCGGCTGCGGCGGTTGCGACCGGGGCAGCGGCGGCGGCGGCGGCTCCGACTGAGTCTGCGGCGGCGACGGCAGCTCCGGCTGGGTCGGCTGCGGCGGTGGCGGCTGCGACCGGGGCAGCGGCGGCGGTGTCGCGCCGCTGACCTCAGCCGAGGGGCGTCGGTGGCCGGACGAGCGGGCGCTGCCCAGCCGCGCCGACACCGCGCGCTCCGCTGCGGCAGGGCAGGCGCCGTCACAACCCCCCAGCGTGTTCAACAGACCCAGCCACGGCTTCAGCACTGTTGCCACGATCTGAATAAGACTTCTCCATCGCCTTAGGTGCTTAGGTGTCTCGGTCCACAACCCTGCGCTCCCCGGTCAGGCCGTGGTGCAATGCCAGGTCGCGCGGTGGCATGTTGAGTGAACGACCCACAACTACTCAACCACACATAAAACGACCAAACACATACAATTCATGCAATCCTACAGTGGAGTACTTACGTTCCGGGGTTCCGAAGGGGTTGGGAGCTGGAGTTGGTACAAGCGCGGCAGCAGCGGCGGCGGCGGGGCGAGGTTCAGGTTCGGCCGGCCGCTCAGAGATGGCAGCCAGCGGCGGCGCGGCCGGTGCGTCGCTCAGACCGGACTGCACGGAGCTGGAGAGAGACGACAGCGGCGTCTCGTCCACGTGCGCGGCTGCGGGGTGGACAGGCACGGGTGTCAGCTCGTCCCAGACCATAGTGATGTCAGTCAGAACAAGACGGTCGGCAGGTCATGGGACTACAGACAACACCAGATACAGATAGTGCAGATCAACCAGGCTGAGTCAGAGCCAAACCCTGTGAAATTTAAGCAGGGCGCGTGGAAACCACAGGCACAAAGAACACCAAAGTCCTGATGTTAGTTTACCGGTAAACGATTTCTTCTTTTCTTTGGGGGGGGGGGGGGCAATGATATAAACCTATAGCTTAGGGTGTGTATGAGCGCAATAATGTTATACATCAGCGGTGATTTGCTGGGGCTCCGGTCAGCTGAGGAGGGAGAGTGCCGGCTACACAGCGGTGTGACAGTCTGCTTCACCGTCCGACCCACCTCGCTGGAGACGCTTGTGGTCGTACGACCCGTGCAGATCGGGCGTCACCGGCTTCCGGCCGTGGTGGTCGTCAAACTGGAACAGCAGGCAACTCAGTCACGACCGCATGGCGACGGCCGGCAGCCGCGGCCGCCCCAATCCCCATCCGCGGACGACTCGACTTGCCCGGCAAGGCAGAAAATCGCAGTACCAGGTCCAAACTGACAAAAAACGGGTCTCAAATTCGCTCTGCCCACGCGAAACCAATCCTGATCACACCGAACCCTTCCAGCCTACTCTGAGCTTGTCTTGCCCATCCCAAACTCGGCCTACCCACCCAGAGTTCGTCCAAATCCCACAGCATCCGTCCCATACGGCCCAACTCGTCACCACCCTCTGAACCCATCCACCACGTCACTACTCTATACTCTGAACTCCTCCTAACTCACCCGAACTCGCCCTCTGAACCACCTCTCTCTGTCTGTCTCTGTCTCTGTCTCTGTCTCTGTCTCTGTCTCTGTCTCTGGTCTCGTCCTCTCTGTCTCTGTCTCTGTCTCGTCCTGTCTCTGTCTCTGTCTCTGTCTCTGTCTCTGTCTCTGTCTCTGTCTCTGTCTCTGTCTCTGTCTCTGTCTCTGTCTCTGTCTCTCTCGTCTCTGTCTCGTCTCTCTCTCTCTCTCTCTCTCTCTCTCTCTCTCTCTCTCTCTCTCTCTCTCTCTCTCTCTCTCTCTCTCTGAACCACCCCAATCTCGCCTTCTGAACCACCCTGAACTCTCCCTCTGAACCACCCAATCTCGCCATCTAAACCAACCCTAACTCTCCCTCTGAACCACTTTAATCTCGCCCTCTGACCCACCCCCATTTCGTCCACTGACCTACCCCGATCTTGTTCTCTGACTCAGACTCAGTTTGACTCACCCCGAACTCGTCCTCCTCGCCCTCGCTAATGACGCCCGGCTCGGCGTTGATGGAGGCCGAGTCATCCCAGCCGAGGTCGCTGCCTGCCTCGGAGCCGGCCTCAGAGCCGCCAGCGCTGCGGGACCACGAACCGCGCCGCCGGCTCGTCGGCAGCTTGGCCACCTTGTGACCTGGCGGGGCGGGGGCGGACGGCATCAGTCGAGAGGAGGTCACAGACGTTGTGTGTTGTGAACTGCTGGCGGCGCGCTGTCGGATGTTATGATCTCCTAAGGGTAATGAGGTTATACATGTTTTTGTTTGCCGCGGCCGACCAGAACACGTCAAGTCCCTGTCGCCTGACGAAGATCTGCGAGACGTCACGTATAATCGAGGTCTTCCAGAACACGTCCGACATTTCGACAGGCCCAGGCCGCGACCGCATCAGCTGTCCAGGTGACCGCAGCCGGGGAGAGTACGCGGACGCATCCGCACAAGGCACGCCGGTGTCGGTCCTCTGTAGCGCAAGGCCACACCGGCTCCAGATCAGTAGTGTCAGGGCGGCCGCATCCACAGCGACATACAACGATTCAACGACATCTATCGGCTGATTTGATGCGATACATTACGCAAAACGCCACCCGGCGAGTCCTCCGGGTAAGTTCTCTGCGCGTGTCCTCCGTGACCTGGGTAGATGGACCATGACGAACGTGCCCATTCCCACCGCTCACCGACGGAGGCGGCCAGCTTCTTGATGGACTTCTTCTTCTGGTTGAGGCTGGCCAGGCTGCCGCCGAGCGCGCCGGTGACCTTGGGCAGGCTGACGAGCGAGCCACGCAGCTTCTCGCCCTGGTGCAGGTCGGTCGTGCTGGCCGAGGCCGCCTTCACCGTGAAGCCCAGCCGCACCTCCAGCTCGCCGCGCTCCTTGGTGTCCTTCTTGTCCGGCTTGCTGTGCAGCTTGTACGACCTGCCGGGAGCGGGACGGCTCGTCAGCGGACGGCGGCGGTGGCGGCGGTGGCGGCGGCGGAGCGGCGGTGGCGGCAGCGGAGCGGACGGCCGCGGCGAGCTTCGGGACGAGGAGACCGGGGCGCGGACATGAAGGCGAATAATCATACTATACATATCTAATATGCAGTATATACATTGTACATAAGGAGCCAGCATGTGGGAGCACAGTCAAGTAAAATATAATACCCAGAGTTGATGGCCGTACAAAAAACATCCGAAAAAAACTGCTAACTACTGACTGGAAGCATATGCCTGAAAGCCAGAATTAACCTGGCTGCCTCCCCTTCCCTTCCACGGGCACTCAGCCGACACTGGTCCCTTTCTGCCTCCCTCCCTCCCCACTCGCTCGGTCGACGGTCTATCACCTGTTTTTGGGGCGCTCGTACACGTCGAAGTCCGACAGCGGTATGGTGGTGAGTCCGAGAAACTCGTCCACGCCCAGGAAGTTGCGGTGCAGCACCTGCAGCTTGATCTCGGCCGTGTTGCCCTGGCTCGGGATCGTCCTGAAAATTGCACCATGGCCGACAGCGTCTGATCAGTGTCACATCCTCGCTCGCTGAATTTGAAAATTGAGACTTCTATATATATTTTTGATACTTTGTTAGAACCTAACAAAACAGCTGCATATAACAACCTTCCATGGCAGCAAAATTCGAGAACAAATTCGGAAGAAATGAATATTTAAGTTTCCATGTGGGTTTGAACAATGCCCGATGAAGCACGAGGACCCAACATTACATGGGACGTCACTAACAGCCAAATCTAAGGAATTAGCTGCTACAACTCGGACACGTATGTTAATGATGCGGCTGACGACCTGGTGTATCTAGCATGAAACTGCTCAGAACACTACGCAAATGCCTTTACAGCGACCGGCAGACGAAAAGGGTGTCGTGAAAACTAATTCAAAACAACTCGCAAACGTGGGTCATGTGTAGCGTCTGTCGGCAACGCATCATAAGTTGGAAGAGCGGGCTGGATTTACAGTCAAGATGCTGGATTAACCAGCTGGATTTACAGGTGAGACGCTGACCGCGCCTTGGCTGGCCCCAGCTCGGCTGACCGACGGCCGTGAATGGTGATAAGCTGCGGAACTCACAGTTCGCACTCCTCGCACCACTCGACGTTCGGCGGCGCCTTCTCCTTGACGGACGTCTGGTACTTCTCCTTGCCCAGGCTGATGACGACGAAGCAGTCGTTGGTGCCTGCGGCATCCAGATAGGGTGAGCGACGCTCCGCCCGCCTCCACGCCCGCGAGCGTTACGGGGAGCGGACGCCGCCGGCCCGCCACCGTCCCGGGACACCAGTCAGCCGACATAGTGACGGCCAGCCGACGCAGTGACGGCCAGGCGACACAGTGAAGGCGGTGACATCAGGACCGTGCATTACCCATCGGATTCTGCATCAGGGAGTCGACAACGGGCGGAGAGGAAGAATCAGTTACAAGACACCATCGGCAGGAACAGCGCATGACTGTGGCTGGGGACTTCAAGGACGCTTCGAAGCAGCCAGTCTCCGGCGCTCTGCCGGGAACACAACAGCCGATCTCCAACCCGTCACATTCCACGGCATGACCTCGGCCACAGAGAAGCGTGGGCACAGCGAAGGCCGGATTTCGGAGGACCACATCTGAGAGGGGGCGCTGTCGGGGGAGCGGGCTCCCTGCAGCCGACCCGAGACCACCACACCGGCCGGGCAGACCCACTGACCGCGGTGGTGACCCGAGGTCTGGAGCGGCGCGAATCGACAGATGCCTGTCCGCTTGAGGAACAATGACCGCGACCATCATAAACAGACCCATCTGCACGATGTTACGCAGGGAGCGAGCTTTTCTGTCCGTGGCACAGCAAGAGGCCACACGTAGCCCCGTCCAAGCCCCGTCACGTAATCACGCCGTCCGACGGCCCGGCGTGGCGCGTGACAGCCGCCGCTGACGTTCTCCGCCGGGTGGCAGATGGCGGCGTGGCAGCTGCGCGGCGCACTCGTGCCGGCGTGCCGTTACATGGCGCCCCCAGCTCGGCTCCCGTTCGCCCGGCCAACTGATCACACGCCTCCGATTAAGACGGCCGGCCGCGGTGAGTAATCGGCACTGCCGCGCGTGCTCTGCTCACGCCGTGGTGCAGGTCATGCAATATCAAGGAAATTTCTAATGACTGGAGCCTGTGTGCCTGAAAATGTACTCTTCCAGGACGAAATACATCGAAAGTGAGCGTACGGTTCATTAAAGATTAGCATTTAGATACTGATCAGCGACATGCTTGCATGCTGAAAGCTCGCATCGGTTGCGCCGAACGACAAAGACTGGATGCAATTCGTTATTTCCAACTAAAACACACTGTTTGAACTGACCATTTTTGCCCTTCACCAGAAGTCCCTTTGCTCTCTGCACAGTCAGCTGCACGTGAGTTGGCATCCACATGATAGCGGTTTGTAGACCGTTGTCGTTGTTGTGTGGACCAGACCTGGAGTTAGCAATCCATTCCTGAAACGGAAAAATGAACTATTCATAATTGGTGACGTAACGCATGCACCAAAACCAAAAGATGAGATATGCTATTACTATTTCGCAATAGAGCAGGCGGGCATATGATTTCACCCGTCGCCCTGATGGGGGAGGGGGGGGGGGGGAGGCGGTATGCCAACCCCAGCTTTTACCAAAACCTCCTGGCATGTCGTGCAGTCGCCCTCAACCTTTCACAAGGCCCGGGGACATTCATTGCACTTTTTTGGCAGCCCCCGTGTTCGTGCACGAAACGCAATAGCGGCGAATCGGAAAGAGGGCAAACACATATCCGCGGCTGTCGGTGCGATACTTGTACCATCACAGTACACCTTTAGTCACAGCTATTCCGTATGAGCTAAATGGACAAACTCTACCATTAATTAGATGGATGGTAAACTTTCGTCATCAGTTGGTTAGAACGCCTGCCTTCCGATCCACCAACCCGTTGCGGAGTGCATTTGAATTCGCTTCAGGCGTTCGCTATTTGCCCTTGACAGACATGGTCTGCGGCCGGAGGCAGCGACCGTGCCAATGGCCCGGTGACGTCAGAGGGAAGGACGGACCGAACGGATCATTGACGCATGCTACACTTTCGCCGCCTAATTATACCGTAGACCTGGAATTGTACCATCGGATGGTAGTGGTCAGGGCTCACACGACAAGCACTGGTTAGCATGAGCTCTTACCCCATAAATCTATCCATTCCAAAAGGTTCAGATAAAATCTTTTCAACAATCGCAGTCACATAAAGTGTAAGGACACGGCGCGTAATGCAAATCAAATTTCCCGGCGGCCATGGGTCGGTGTAATTGATAAAAACTCGTCCAAATGCCTGTCTATTGAAGCCAAGGACTGTTTACCAGACAGGCTGCGGCAGTGCACTGCATCTACGTCGTAATTGGGACTTGTTGTTTATTGATGTTTCACGGCGCACCAACCGCAATGATAATTTTTTACGACGCACTAAGCTACTGAGGCTACACGGCGTCGCCTGTCTCTCATCCTAGCAGGGAGGCGTGAATTAAATCTTAACATCGACTTTCTACAAAGTTTTGTGGGTGATCCAGTCATGTTACTGTATGGCTTATATATGTGACCACCGACTACACCAGGGGCGAGTCGCTATGCACTTTGTACTGACAGGTGGTGACACCCTGTTTAAGTTGTGTAAAACTAGGCTATATGCAACTTTTGATGAAGCCTGCTTTCATTGAAACAAAGGGCATTTACCCAACATCTCTCATTTCATTAGCATGACAAAAGTCAACTTGAAGCCTGTGAGAGCTCAGAGTAGAGAATGTAGGTCCTGAACATTTGTCTTCTGCCTGGTGGCATATGCCATTAACTGTTTTTTTCTTACTTCTGCCAGCTTCTGATGGACACATTAATGTATGGAGTGTGGACTCTGCTGCATAGTTGTGTCTAGTGCCCACTTCCTGGCACATTATTTGGGTGGATTTTGATGGTTCGTAGTGGCAACAGTCCTGACTTGTGTCATGCCTTCTGCTGTTCCTTTTATCAAATTCTTCCACTTCTCCCTACATCTTGGCTTCACACAACAGGCATGATGATGAAGAAAGGTATCCAGCTTTGAACCCTTATCAGAACCCAAGACAATGACAAGCTGAAGTCAGACCTAGTCAGTGGCTACCAGGCATGGGACTGTGAGGCCAAAGTAAAAACCTGTAGCTCCATATTTTTCAAAACAAACCACAGACTAAAGCAAGTGGCTCCAAGCCTTGCACACATACAGCTTAAAACTGCAATTTTGTACAAAGGAAACACAAGACAAAAAACCTAATCCAACATTAATCCAAAATCAGGAGGCTGAAGCAGAAGATGAATCTGGAGTAGAGCATTGCATACCTGCAACCATCTTTTTGTGTGAGCTAAAACCATATGAGATCAGGTAACACAACAGTCCTGCAGAGTGAATTAGGCAAGGTGTTGACTTTACAACTGAAATATGTTATAGCAGTCACTGCCCACAGCCACTTCTCTAATTCAACTAAATTATTTATCACTACTTTGATTCTATACTAAAAAAAACAAGTAACTTTGTCTAAGAACACACAGGTACCTGAACCTGCAAACCAATTTAATTTGCCTCATAGGCATATAATTCCCTTAGCTGCCCACCAGACATTTGAAAAATAGCAAAAACATGCTGCATATGCAACTCTGGACATAAAACATTCTTTGTTATAAAGGTTATGTACTTATGGCATACATGAACAGAGTGTAATAATATTCCTGTGATACATTCTTTTCAAATTCACAGATCATGTTCATGAACACTTGTCAGTAAGAAAACTTTCTGGAAAATAGAAGGATAAACACCCAAACAGTGCTATGAATACTTTTTAATAAAACTATCTGGAAAATTGAAGGATAACATAAAAATAGTGCTATGAAAGCTTCTTTTTTACATATCACCATGAATTTGTTGTAAGACATAGACAGAGGCAAAAATATGAGCTAGTGTAAAAGAATGACCTAGTTTTTACCCTACAACTGAATTATCAGACTATTTCACATCATAACTTCACAAATGCACCACCAATATGAATTCAGCATTCTGCACCATTGTACAAACTTTTTTTTACTGGATATCTTCATTTAGCATTTCCACAGCAGCCTCAGGACAAAGGGAGACTGCGCACCGAGAGCCCCAAGCATCTGCTGCTTACCTAGGTACATTGCAAGCATGCTAAAAGTTCCATAGACATTTACATACTAGTCATGCTTCTCACCTTACGATATTGCGATAGGGATAGAAATTCTCCTTGAAACCTACGCCCGCCAGGCGACACTGGAGGGAGGTGAACTATAATGGGGCACCCATACCCAGAATTTTCCCATCGCCAATATTTCGATTCATGCCTTGCTCGTTGGCTTATGTACATGAATCATACACTGTGGCAAGCCTGAACGACATCAAGATCCTTACCTAATATTCTCTAGCAGACACTGGATAATGTTCAGGACCTCACGCGAAATATCGCCCACAAAGAATTCCGTGAACCTATGACGCGTTACAACAAACAGTAGTTTACCTTGAATGGGGCGTTTGCGACGCGTCTGTAGACAAAATAAATCAACGTCACCGTTTGTCCTGTGACGCTTACTACTACGAATATGTTTATTTTAATACAAATATACGCTTATTTTTTGCAGGGAAGAAAAAATAAGTTTTTTCAAATTAAAAAAATACATAAAAGATTAGAACATTTCAAACTTTTATATTTGACGCATGTTTTGTAACTTTGTAACGTCACTTTAAGAGATCATGAGCGTGCCCAATACCATGTAAAAGTCGAGGATTTGAGCTGGGCTTGAGTCACGTTATGGTGAGTGGCGGTGAACTGGATGGACGCGGAGGTATACCAAAACATTCGAATATATAAAGATATTTGCGGGGTTGTCTTGATCTTGAACGCGATGAGTTGTTGAGGTACGGATAAGGGCTGCATTTGTGTGTCATGTGCAATGACCCGACGATGGATGCATTTTGAGCGGCATACTTCACAATTGCATGCGTGTACAGCCAGAACCTGAAAAACCGGCTTTTTGAGCACGGCGTGTCCATTAGACAGAGGCTGAGGTCAGGGGTGGCTGAACTTTGGGCTTACTGGTGCAGATGTGCATATTTCCTATTGCTGCCACTGCCTCCTGTTATTTACTCATTACATTTGGCAGTGTGCAAGCAAGAGGTAAGGTTATTATATTGTCAGTTGTAGACCATTCCATAATCACATGACACATGCTTTGCCATTCTGCACTTCTTCATCCTTGGTTGCTTACTGGCTAGGCTGGATGGGTGTGCTTCCCCTATCTGCTGATCACTATGTGAAAGCCTCTTAACATGGCTTTCATGCACAATTTTATTTCCTTTTTAAGGTTTTGTACCTGTCAGCTTTTTTGTTGAATACATTTTTGGAATGAGTCCCTATGCTTGGCAGTGCTTGTTATGTAAGCTGCTTTGTCTTGTCCCCCTTGTTTCATTGTATTTACAATGCATAAAAAACAAGCTTCCCCAGTGCATGAATGTAAGTTGCAAATGACTCATAGTCCATGTTACCTGTCAATACATACAGGCTTAGCATTTCAATAGGTACCTATATAAAGAGACTTGAATCTCCATTGATGATGAATGTGCCACAGTCAATTGACCATTTCTGCATCATGTACTGTTGAAGCAATCCAAAAAGAAAACTATGACTTTGCCAGTTTTGAAGTTGTTTGGTGCCACCCAGGATGACTATGCATGGTGGAAAATTTGGGTTGTCTTGAAAATAGATTTTAAGCTGCTCTTTAATATAGGCCTTAGATTTATCAGGAGGATGCATTTTTAAAATTCAGCCCAAGACTTTTGATTGGATGGATTTGTAGGAACAGACATGCTAAGTGGCTCTCATTACACAAACCCTGCTCCATTCATCCAATCATAAAATTCCAGTTCAACAGCACAGTAGGTGGCAAAAGGCAAATTTTTCAGGACCCTGCATGGTCTGCCCCAATATCTGACCTTATCTTACTGGGAGCTGCTGCAATTACCAGCTGCAGGCCATCAAAGCCAGGAGCAAATAGTGATCACAGAAGAAAATCAAACCCACCTATCCCATCATGGGTCATTTGGAAGGCAGCAGCTTGGAGGACAGATGAAGCTGCATTAATGGATATATGTAACCTTTAAGTAAGGATGTCATGCTTTGATTTTATTTGTTTTAGTCATATGTGAGCTTTAATATGCTCCCAGGATTGTCATGCAAATTTTGGTTGAAATGTATAATTTAGGACTGATCAAAGCATGTTTTTTTTCAGAAAAGTGCATTTGGGCTGGGGTTTTCTTCATGCAAGCTTTCTGAGGTATAAACAACTCAAAATATCATGCCATTAATATGTGATGGTGTGTGCTTGGTTGCACCCAGGGATGTCTCACCAATAAATGTTGTGTCTGTAAAAGTGAAGGCTTCTTACACAGGGAAAATGTGTCCATCAAAGCTTGTTTTGATGGAATTACACTATTGATGTGGAAGTACTTGCTTCAATATCTCATGTGATTTTTCAAGTGTATATTGTGTATCATTATATTTTCACCTATTTTGCAGTAGCAGTAAATAACCACTAAATGAGAAGCATTGTTATCTCTCCTTGTGAGTTGTTATATTGCCTGCATTGATCAGCTTTGATATACAAATTTTCTGTCATCTTGCAGTAACCATCTCAATGCAGTGAGCCCTGGCATCTTTTTCACACACCAGAGCACAGATAAGCATGAGAAGAATGTGGACATCCAGCAAGGCCCTGGTGACTCTATTCATACTGGTGAGTTGGTTTTTTATCTTTTACCTTCCTGGGACTATCACAGGGTGGACATGATCTTACTCAGTCGTCATTCCAAAAGCCTTGTTCAGGTGAGATATTGGTCCTCTCAGCCTTGAGCTCCATGGACACCCCCAGACAGTGTGGTGACAGTTGTGCGCCCTGCAGGCGGCCTGCCTACTGCCGTCCAGCCGCCAAACTTCGCGGAAGACGAGCGCAGTGATCGACATCCACGACCCAAAGGAGTTCAAGAAGCTGCTGAAGACCACGCCAAACGTGCTGTGCTTGTTTGTCAAGAATGGCAACATCAACAAGGAGCTGAAGCGCGTGGTGAGCCTGACGGCTGAGCAGGTGCGCGGCGTCGGATCCGTCGTCTACATCGACTGCAGCGGGTGCGTGCCGGCCTTGGGGGGAGAGGGGGGGGGGGGGCGGGCTCGTCCGAAGGTGATGTATGGTGCTGGCGGAGGTCTGCCCAACTTTACCCAATCGTGCAAGACCTGTTACATTCCATTCTGCTCATCATGGAGCATATGCCGAAACTTTTGGTTGAACTCATGATGCAGGTTGTGCCTGGAATAACCATCACGTAGCCCTGTCAAAGGAGTCATCTTTTGTTTGTATGCTAAGACAAGTGCTAGTGTTTTTATCAGGTCGCAAAGATATAATTGACACACCATTCCTCTGACCTGTATCATGTATATTAAGCCAGTATGACCTTTAACAACTTCGTTTCTTATCGCTCAAGCAACTGGAGAGGGCTGGCAAGCTTCCCCCTGGCTCAGACCGTGTGTGAAGTGCATTCCGCTGCGCCGCAGGCGCCGCACCGCGTCACCCGAGCATCCCTCGCCACCTCGCCGCCCCTGACCCCTCCGCTCCGCGCGCCGCAGTGATGGCCGCAAGATCTGCAAGAAGTATAAGGTGGCGCCGGAGCCGAGCGTGCTCAAGCACTACAAGGACGGCGCCTTCCACAAGGACTACGACCGCAAGCTGACGCTGACGTCGATGGTGAACTTCATGCGCGACCCGGCTGGCGACCTGCCCTGGGAGGAGGACGCCACGGCCGAGGACGTGGTCCACCTCAGCAACGCCCAGGTGTGCCCCTGGATGGGACCGACTTTTCAGGGAGGGCATGGCTGCCGAGCGTGTGATGATTACATTATTTTAGAGCTGCCGTTCGTTTAGACGCGTGGTCCTCACTAAGAGTGTTCAGTAGATTACATGCATACTGTACGCGTGATTTTAAGTCTGCGTTCGTGGATCGCCACGATCGTAACCAGAGGCGCTTGAGTCTACGTAATCGGCATGTTTTCCGATGCTTCGAGAGGTTGGACGTGCTTGGTCATGTAGCACCTTGTAGGCTTTGATATGTGAACCATTAGAGCTGTACTGTTCTCGCGCGTCATCTGGTCCGCTGGTCATTGCGCTGCATTCGGCGCAGATGGGTCTCGGCCGCTTGCCTTCTCCTCGACTGCCACTGGGCCGTGTCCACTTAATATCCACAATTTCGGATGGTGTGGCGCAGGCTACACCATTCGAAACTATGTTGTTGGGGGAGCGATTATGTTGTTGCCGGCTGTAATGTTACTGCGGGAGCGACTATCACCAGGTGACCCCAACAACCGATTTCACGAACCAGAGCGCTGGCTGTCCCGCAGGCGATGGCGCAGCTGTTGAAGAAGGAGGACCGGGTGTTGGTGATGTTTTACGCGCCTTGGTGTGGCTTCTGCAAACGGATCAAGCCGGAGTACGCGTCGGCGGCTACCGAAGTGAAGGAGCAGCATCACGTCATGGCCGCTATCGACGTCAATCAGCCGGACAACTACGGTGTCCGCACGCGCTACAACATCACCGGCTTTCCCACGCTGCTGTACTTCGTGTGAGTGTATCTGTCGGCCACGCCGCTGGTGGGTCGGGGTGCCGCGCGGCTGGTGGGGCACCCGAGCAACCCGTCAGGTGGTCCGACCAGGGCCGAAGAGAGCTCCCACCTGGCTCAATGCGCCTCGGAACTGCAGCGCCGGACGCAACGAAAGGTGCGAATAGCGTGATCTAATGCGCTCGGGGTATTTCACTGGGGAATGTGTATTTGTCGCGCTGTATGGTAGACTTGGGGCGCGTTCGGTTGGCGATAATCTCAAATAATTATCCGGAATGTTGGAAAATTCCTGGAGATGGCGTTCGGCATTGCCAATACAGACAATGGTCGCACATAATGATTCGTGCCGAGGGAAAATCCAAGGTAATTCTCGGAGCATGGTCAAGACAGAATCTTTTTTCGTTATGCTTAGTTATGGCCGTTGGCTGTGCATCGCGTACGGAGTCAGAGCTGGGGGATCATTTTCGGACCTGCCGAACGTAAATGCAGAATCTCCGTGGATGATTATCGGAGAAAAAATTATTCTTTCATTGAATTTCCCTCCATCGAATGCGCTCTACTACTGCGCGCTGTTGTAGTGTATTTAGCTTCGGTGCAGTGTGATGGTGTATTTCGCTCGTGTGCAGTGTGGTGCAGTTCGCTCCAGTGTATTGTGGTGGTGTAGTTGGCTCCGGTGATGTGTGGTGTTGCTGGTTCCGGTGCAGTGTCGTGGTGTAATTGGCTCTGGTGAAGTATGATTTGCTGTCGCGCATGTGTCGGCCGTCGCGCCCCTGTCGACCTGGCTGACTGGCCGGCTCCCACAGGAGGGGCAACGTCAAGTACACGTACGACGGCGAGTACACCAAGGACGGCCTGGTCAAATTCATGGAAAGCCCGGGTCAGGCGGCGCCCAAGCCCAAGGAGGAGGCCTGGGCTGATACGCCGAGCGACGTGGTCCACCTCACCGACGCCACTTTCGACGAGTATCTCAAGGTAGGCGGCCGGGCGCCGGGCGGGATGTTCGCCGCCGCGCCGCTGGACAGTTGGCCGGCATGAGTCCCGAAGGCGCTCGGCTCACGACATCTCGTGAGGGCGTCACCTGTCGCTCCTGAGTGACTGGCGCGTCTAGACCGGTGTCCGATCTCGTGAGGCGTCCCCGGTCGCCTGACGGCCGTGCTCCGGACTGGACGTGCTCTGAGACCGAGCCGCGGGAGCAGATCGCTACGAACCAGCGGGGTGGTACTGAGTATTGACTAGGTGATTGGAAGCTTGTCACTTTAAGAATGCAGGAATGACCGAGTGTTTTGTTATCCGTCCTTGTACCGCTTGACGCTGCCGTTCTGAACATGTTCATTTGGACTCTGACGTAAGGTTCTCTTTTAGCCGTAAATGTAGTTGCATGTGTAAATTAATGTTACAAGTTCCTGGGGAGGCGGGTCATTGTCATTACCGTGCCCGTCTCCCTTCTCAGGGCCACCCATCGGTGCTGGTGATGTTTTATGCGCCCTGGTGCGGCCACTGTAAGCGCATGAAGCCGCAGTACCAGGAGGCGGCCACCGCGCTGAAACAGAAGGCCGGCGGAGGCGTGCTGGCTGCCGTCGACGCCACGGAGGAGAAGGCAAGCCATCCCTCCCACTCTCCCTCTCCCTGTCCCGCCCCGGCCCGACTTTGGCGAGTACATGATGGGCTGCGATTGTGTCCGATAGGCGCCCGAGGAACGCCTATCAAAAGACATGCGACAGGGCGTGCTCGCTGCGAGAAACCTTCGCGGCAGTCATGGAGCATGATCAGTTGCGGCGGGGATCAGCGGTGGCGAACTTTCGGGCGTGATCTGAGCCCGCGGTCAGCATGAAGCAAGGCGCGGCAACCGTAACAGTTGATTATCTGTAGCAATCTGGTGGATGAAGCTCGCTCTTGTGTGTCCAAGCCTGGGCATTAGGTCCTATGTCAGCCAGCGCAGCGAACCTCAGCGCGTGTTCGGTGGTCCCGGCAGGCGGGTCGGCGGCCGGCCCGGGTCCGTGCGCCGGCGTCGCGCCGGCCAGTGCTGACCGTCGGGCGGTGTTGCAGGCGATCGGCGGCCGGCCCGGGTCCGTGCGCCGGCGCCGCGCCGGCTAGTGCTGACCGTCGGGCGGTGTTGCAGGCGGGTCGGCGGCCGCCCCGGCCAGTGCTGACCGTCGGGCGGTGTTGCAGGCGATCGGCGGCCGCTTCGACATCAAAGGCTACCCGACCGTCAAGTACTTCCGCGACGGCGAGTTCGCGTTCGACGTGAGCGTGCGCGACAAGGACAAGATCTTGGAGTTCATGGCGGACCCGCAGGAGCCGCCGCCACCGCCTCCGCCCGAGAAGGCCTGGGCCGAGGAGGCCTCCGACGTGCACCACCTGACCGAGGAGTCGTTCAAGGCCTTCCTCAAGAAGAAGAAGCACGTGCTCGTCATGTTCTATGCGCCGTGGTGCGGTCACTGCAAGAAGGCCAAGCCCGAGTTTCAGGCAGCGGCGGCCGAGTTCACCGACGATCCCAAGGTGGGGGCGGTCGTCACGCCCGGCGGCGCGTGCGCTGCTGTGTGTCGCCGTGTTTGTGACGTCCCAGGCGGGGCCGCTGGCTGTCAGCGAGGCGTCTGGGTTGTGGTAACTGGCCGTGTTTTGCCTGTGAATGTGCGTCATTCGGCTCGTCTAGAACGTGGGTGATGTTTATTCGCGGTTTTTGTCTGGTTTCGACTTCGTGGAGATTCCCGGGATCCACCCACACTGGACCGTTGATGAACACCAGCTCCTGGCGGCGCATCCCGGCCGTGTCAGCCGGGCCCCTCTCCTCAAGGCTCGCCGTGCTGTCCCCAGGTGGAGTTCGCCGCCGTCGACTGCACTGTCGAGACGGGCATCTGCAACGCCAACGACGTCAAGGGCTACCCCACCCTCAAGTACTACAACTACTACAAAACCGCCAAGGCGTACGAGGGCGGGCGGACGGTGGGTGTCCAGTGGGATGATTGTTTTCTGGCGGACCGTCAGCGTAGCCAAGTCTGCAGTTAGATGACTATGTCGCGTCAATGTGATCGGCTTAACATGTGCCATATTCTTCAAATCGCGTGCACTGTGCGTGGTCGAGTTAAAAGCATCGACTCGTTGGTGGGTTTAAGTGCAAATCAAGGCGTGCCAGCCACTACCGAGTCCCGCCCGAATCTTCATCCACCTGCGTCCCCGATCTGACTCGACGTCTCCGCTCTGACGCACACCTCCGCCGCGCCCCGCAGAAGACGGACTTTATCAAGTTCATGCGGGACCCGAGTAACCCGCTGTCGGCGTCGCCGCCGGCGCCGGCGCCCGAGGAGGAGTGGGGAGGGCTGCCGGGCGCCGAGCGGCTGCGGCACCTCACCGACGACAGCTTCGACGCGACCGCGAGACAGGCCGACAACATGCTAGTCATGTTCTACGCGCCGTGTACGTGAGGGGGCGAGACGTGGGGAGTGCGGTGCGGTGCAGGGTGGGGGGGGGGGGGGGGGTGAGGGCAGTTGGGGTGGATCCAAAGCCTTTGGGCGGAGGAGGACCGAGTGCATGGCAGTGGGGGAGGGAGATGGGTGCGGACCAGCCCGAGCGGCGTCATTTCAGATGCTGTAGTGACGTCAAAGCCCGCCTCTGCCTTTGATGTCTCCCCATAAGGGACACACTGAGAACATTGCCGGCTTCACAAACGGTTTAGATTGAGTCCAGGCAGAGTCTACAGCGCCATCGCACGCGTGTCCGGCCTGTTCTGGCGCCGTCGGCCTCTGGCCAGGGGCGGGCCGCTCGTCCTGCCGTCCCTGGTGTTCCGTGCGCCGCCGGCCGGTGCTCACCCAGCCGGCGTCCGCTCCCCGCAGGGTGCGGCCACTGCAAGCGCATGAAGCCGGCGTACGCGGAGGCGGCGGCCAAGCTGGCCGAGGCCGGCGTGCCCGGCGTGCTGGCAACGGTGGACGCTACCGTGCAGCGGGGCCTGCACAACAGGTGAGGGCCGGAGCCGGCGACAGCTGCGGCAGGCGTCTGTGGCCGGAGCCGGCGGCAGCGGCAGCAGACGTCTGTGGCCGGAGCCGGTGGCAGCGGCAGCAGGCGTCTGTGGCCGGAGCCGGCGGCAGCGGCGGCAGGCGCCTGTGGCCGGAGCCGGCGGCAGCGGCAGCAGGCGCCTGTCGCCGAGCCGCGGCAGCGCGGCAGGCGCTGTGCCGGAGCGGCGCAGCGGTGGCAGGCGTCTGTGGCCGGATCCGGCGGCACGGCGGCAGACGTCTTGGCCGGAGCCGCGTCTGTGGCGGGCAGGCTCTGTTGCGGATCAGCGCAGCGGCGGCAGACGTTTGTGGCCGGAGCCGGCGGCAGCGGCGGCAGGCGTCTGTGGCCGGAGCCGGCGGCAGCGGCAGCTGTCTGTCTCGCCGCCGGCTGTGTTCATTGTGACGGTAAGGTCGCGGACGTGTCCAAAAACCAAAGTACGTGATGTCTCTCTCGTCATGTTATTAATGCTGGTGTGCTGAGCTCTGTTTATCGGTGACGCCCCCTCTGAGACCGTGTGTCTTAATTAATATGACACGGCACACTACTAACGAGTCCCAAATTCCCAAAAACGAGTCCCAAATTCGAGTGAAATACAATAAGTCGAAAATTCACTTCAGTTAGGCAGGCTTGCACCTTTCAGGTGAAGTTAAGTGTTGAAACCTTTAGCTCATTCGATTTAGATTTTAATAAATACGCCTTCGAACATAACATATTTCAACAATTGCGCTCAGCGTAAGGGGACATTTCTGCCGAAATACAGTTAATTTTGTGCCTTGTTTTTTATTCGAAGTCGAGACTGAAGCCAATATGAATACAAGCGCAATGTTACACAATGTGCTGTGTAACATTGTGCTCTGTATGATCTGCCTACTCGAGAAAAAAATTGGTCACAAAGGCGGGCAGGCGTATTTCTGCAGTTCTTGTAAGACACACGCACTGAACCCGAATGATGGAATAGCAGACCGGCCGGGCCGGCCTGGCGTCGCCACGACCTGGGCCGCCTCGCTCTTACCCCGACCTGAGCCGCCTCGCTCTCACCACGACCTGAGCCGCCTCGCTCTCACCTCGACCTGTGCCGCCTCGCTCTCACCCCGACCTGAGCCGCCTCGCTCTCGCCAGGTTCGACGTGCGCGGCTTCCCGACGCTGAAACACTTCCGACACGGCAAGTTTGTGTCTGACTACACAGGGGAGCGGACTACGGAGGCGTTGGTGGCGCACATGCGCGCGCCACCCACCGCCGCCAAGACGGAGCTTTGACCGCACGCCGACGCCGACCCGGCGACATTTTGCGCCGCTGGCCGCTAGGGGCGCTGTCTTCGCCTCCGAGGAGACTGCAGCTCATGATATTTGCTTAACGCTAATGCTCTCGTGAAGAAATTTAATTCACACTGGGACGCTTTTTGTTGCGCCGCGTTTACACTGTGGCATGTGGCGACGTTTGGCGTAAAGATGTGGTCGGTGGCCGCGCCACCGTGTGTGGGGATCAGCCGGATACAATATATACATGCTGGTGCTACGGGACCTGATTGCGGAACGATCAGAACTCTGGTGGATTGGCGGTCTGGAGGAGTGGAGACAATGGCTCGCGCTATTAAACCTATGAGGGCTGTTTTGGGGATTTTTAGTTAATGGAAACGTTCGTGAGTGGGCGTCGCGGTCAGGTGAGTACAAACGCCACCTCACTGGTGGTCATCAGCTCCGCAGCGAGGTAACCAACAGTGCGCCGTTGGTCACGGTTGGCTGTCTAATATATGACACAATCACGATTATGTGCTTGCACCGTTCAGGTGTTTCCTCGCGAGTCACTGAGAAAGTTTGCTTTGCCCCCCCCCCCCCACACACACACTCTTGATTGCCTGTAATACCGGCGAAATTACTAGCCTTACGGCGTCCACGCCTCCCATCAGGTACGTCATGGAGTAAACTCGAAGCTTATAAGTAGTGCAGTGTTCACCGCCTGATTTGTTTTTGCAGGCTCGCGATCGGTGGCGCAATGATTTCGCGTCGCCTCTATCGTGCATATGATCATTCGTGGCTCGAGACAGGAAGCGCGGAGAGTGTCAGCCCATGTCAACCCATGTGGAGATATGCGCGCTTCGCTAAAAATTGGAGGTTAAGAGCGTCTCTGAGGATCTAGCCTGCCCCTTTGCGTTCTTTACTGACCGACTCGCGAAGAGCTGACTGCATGGTGGGCCTTAAGCGCACTCGGGAGGTGGGGGAGGGGGGAGCTCAGCTCGTGGTATTGGGGACCGTGTACAGTTATCGTTACTAAGCATTGCAACGTCGTTTAAACAGTATCTCCCGGTATATTAAATGTCGCTAACTCATCATACTTCCACGCACATTTTCACCTTTTTATGCTGCCCAAACTAAGGTGTATGGTCCCTGTCGGGCTCCTAGCATAGTTATTCCAGAAGGTGTTGTGCATCGGACATTGACCCCACGTGACGATGTGACCACTCGATCTCGCGTGGTTTGACACAGTCCGTGGGCACCAAGGTGGCCGAAGTGGATGGTTTTGCGTACACGAAGCATTAGGCCGCGTACAAGGCTCGGAGTGTCAAATTCTGGATTTCTTTTAAAAACCTGGTTTCCTGGAAGCAAGTTAAGACTAATGACGTTAACTGTGACGGTACCGGTGATCCAGAGGTCGACAGATTATTTTCTGGTCATTCAAGCTGTTTGAATAGGTTCAACTGGCTTAGCGTTTGCGAAGCCCTAGGTGGTGGCACCGCTCCCCGTCACTCACGTCCTGAAAGATACTGCAGCAACCGCGAGATTCATTCGCGTTCACTCACTTGCGATCCCAACGAGTGGATCCGCGGGCGCTTGGTGAGATAAAGCTGGGATACAAGTGCTTGCACGATTGAATTGCCCACTTGCAACTGGTTTTGATGACGCCAAGGTCAGTGCGCGAGCTTATCAGGCACTTCCGACCAAGGCCCACGGCAGGAGACAAACAACCTGCAGTTCACTGAACAGCTTCCGCCATTCGCCGCAGGTGCGCAATAAGTTGAGGCCTTGCATAATGCATAGGGCTTCTCTTTTCGACGGTGTTCGTTAACGCACGCTCGGATGGGAGTGGGGTGGGGGTCTAAGTTTTTCCCTCCACCGTCCTCCAGAGGTTTGTCAAGAATAACGTCTGAAAAGCACGGCGTGGTCACGCCGAACATATCATGTGAGTAGGGAAGCCTATTGAAAAGCGGACCTTTTGATATGCAAATTCAATCTGCCTTTTGAGGTCACTTACCTATGGCAGGTCGAAGTCGGGCCGCGACGGTCAGCGGGGGCGATTTCCGTGGAATCGTTTAATATTATGTGACAGCGGAGCGTAAGACGAAGCCATATATGTCTGAGATGGCTTTTGCCAATTGGACAGTTTATTTAAGATAATGACCAATTGCATTGACCTTGGGTGAGGTGCGGAGGTCAGACGGAAGTCGAAACCAACTTGATGTTTCACTGGAGAGCTTGCTATTTGGGATAGCTTCTGATGCTCATTAGGAATGTCGATAGCGGACTGCAGCAGACATTTTCCATGGAGTTTTTAAGGGTCAGTGCAGGTCACTGACTTAAAATGACTCATATCAGCATTTTGCTTCCGGGAACATACCGCCCCGCGTAATCCTTGACGCTTATTCAAAGTTCAAAAGTCAATGATTTCATAGGTTTCTGGGCACCATGACCTTCTTATGGTCATATGAGGTCATTAGCGTATAATGAACACCTGCGGCCTTTTGCTTAGAACATGTATCTAAGATCGACGCGGTTGCATGAGGAACTCTGGGGGCACCTTGGACACAAATTTGGAGTTTGGCAGTGCTGGGCGATACTTAACAAAATTTCACAAACTAGGAACCTCAAACTTTTACAAGGTGAACTCACAAGCAGACCAATCTACGCTGTGAATTTTGTTTGCCTAGCTCTCTGCTTAGATCCCAGGCACCAAAGTGACTCCTTCCCTCACCCAAGCGTGAGGTATTAACTCGGTCACCCGGACGCGTGTTAAGGAACAGAGCTCCTGAAACAAAACAAATCATAAGCGGTTCTTTGTGCAGCCCTGTCTTATACAATACGATATCCACCAGCCCATGTCGGGCGGAAAACATTCGTCACGCCCCAGGCGAAGGACATAAAGGGAACCTTTGCTATTCGACCCCGAAAGGAGCTCGAACCACGGAAAATGCTGCACACAGTGAAATTGCACACAGCACACCTTGTTGCACACAAATTGCACATTGCACACACTGAAACAGCAGCACAAAGACCTTTCAAGCCCATTCTGCTACAAAACGGAAGTCAAGGTGCAATGAAATAGAAATTCTTGTCACCAGAATTAAAAGAAGAATCTGAGCTCTTTTGTGCCTTTTGTTTATTGTTCCATCATATGCGTCGATTTGATCAGAAATGCCAGTTTTCGCAAGATCCTTGTGAAAGGCTCAAAATGTCGATTTGAAGTAGCCGCTCCTGTGGGACTCCCGGCCCGCCATTATGAAATTCATGCATTTCATTTCTCCTGCTTTTTCCACGTATGTGTTCTGTCTGTTTACAGCAAACTAATTCGTCAAAATGGTCGTGTAATAAGTGCCACGAAAGCTTGAAACATGCTGGTTAGACGAAAATGTATGCAAACATGGAGCCATTATCCCACGAATTCAACGAAACACTTTGGCTTTGATTTCTCCCCCTGTGGATTTACCGGTGCCTCTTTTCGAGGCGCACTTGGGAGTATCACATGGCCCAGAGTTACGCACCGAATCAAACTTCAACCAATGCGCTTCCCAGTAGCAGGCCATTGCCACCCGCTGGGCTAATCACGAATGCTCCTATGTTCGCTTCACTGGAGGTCTTGATCTTGTTTTTAGTTGACTTTTGGATTATTCAGGTTGCCATTCTTGAATTAATCATGACTCTTATCACTGGCATTGTGGACGTGGCTGATTGCATCCTGGTTTAGCGTAAGTCCTTTTGATTATGTGCCATTTATCCAGTTTGGATTATCCACATACGGCCGATTTCGGTGACAGCCGGGGCTCGGCACAAGTCCACTAGCGTGCCTGACCCCGGGCCCGCGATGGGAAACAAACAATCAGCAGTTCAATGAGCGACGTCCGCCATTCGCGGCACGAGTGCAGAGAGTTGAAGCCTTGCTCACTACCGCATATGCTTCCGGTAGTCCAAGGACACGGATGCACCGGTTCGCGATGCAGGAGCCTCAGGGCTGATCACTGCATTCCTTCACCGGACTGCGTGGCCAAATATCCCCAGTCTGAGGTAATGCCTGCGGGGAGCCGGCCGGGTCAGCCCCACCCGTGCCCGTCTGCAGCTGTTCCCCGCACCTCCAGGTCAGCGCGGCCGTCGGGACGCGCCAAGAGGCAGGCGGCGGGGCGGCCGCCCGTACCCGGCGTAAGGTCAGGCGTCGGTCGCGTGTTTATCACCCGCGCGATGGGCGCCCGTTTGTCGCTGGTGTGACAGGCGCCGGTTTTTAGGCCGTTGGTCCGGCCGACCAGCGGGCGGCCGGGTCTGGACGCCAACACGGCCGGGGTACGGGGTGCAGAGCTAGTGGACACCCGGCGGGCACGAGGCGCGGAGCTGGCACGGCCGGGGCACGGGGCGTGGAGCTGGCGGACACCCGGCGCGGGGCCTGTACAGTTTCCAGATCGACGGCGCTCGCTGGGGGCGCTCGAATCGGAACACCTGAGCTCACATGCTGTCGGCAGGTGCAGCATGAACGCGGACAGGCTTGCGTCCTTGAGGCTGAAAATGCAGGCGAGCCAGAAATTTGCACTGATCTCCGACCTCCTCCTTCATTCCAATTATCACCCAACGGACAGAGGTGCTAAAAAACAGTCATTCGAACGCGGTCTTCACATCGGCATCCTGCCTCCACATCTTCATGCGAAGCAAACAACATCGTCATGTGCATGCTTGGGCTGGAAGCTTAGCGCCTTTCCAAAATAAGCGCAGACCGCGTATATTGGGTGTTCAAAATCTAGCTGACAGCAAGGTCATATGTTATCGCTGTTTCCAACCGCACGGGTCCGTTGATGCCTCACAGATACAGGGGTCGCAGGCATGGCCTGGTCAGTGATAATTGCTTACGTAAATGAACGTTCCCGAACACCTCAGTGCAGAGGCGTAACTCACAAAACACGTTGGGGGAGAAGCGTAAGAGCTGAGCGGGAAAAACGGCTAAACACACCAAATTACACACCAAAATGGCTAAACATACCCGAATACATACCAAAATGGCTAAACATACCAAAATGCACACCAAAATGGCTCAACGTACCAAAATACACACCGAAATACCTGAACCAAAATACGCACGCAAAAAATGTGTCGCACTCTGAATTTGAACCACTTTCGCGTCTGAAATTGGGAGGCTGGAACCCTTTCCTGACTAGAAAACTGCACCCGTGCCTTAGCGAATGCTGTACATGGCGACAAAGGGTGTCCTTATCGTTGCGGTTGGTAACTGACCATGCAACTTGTTTCAATAACTTTGTATTTGCCTG